GACCTCAGGTGATCCACCCGCCTCAGCCTCCCAAAGTGCTGGGATTACAGCATTAGCCACCGCGCCCGGCCGTATGTGGTGACTTTTGATGTTATTTGGGTCAAGAATGGATTCATATTAGACTTCATTCGGTTCTCTTTTTCTACTTCATTTTACTAAAAGAACTTCTTTATGTTGCTAGGTATTGTATTCTCCAAGCAGATCTAAAAATGATTTTTTTCTCTGTTTTAGCACCAACTCATCCTGCTGTTTTGGACATTATTATCTCTTTCCTGAAATCTAGAAAATGTGCATAAAATATACATATTTTTCTCAAGGTGAATTTTTTAATACTGCTGGAAAAATCTTTTGAGGAATATCTAAAAATAATATGACAACCTGAAAAGAAAGTTATAATACCAGATCCAGAAAACAATCACAAACCTTCCATTTACAATCATAGTCTATATATGATTTGGTAATGTAAATCATAACATGAATAATTTTTCATGCAAGGACCTAAAATATCTTTAAAGTCTTATTAATTTTCACTGTATCAATTAAGGTGACCAATTCATCCCAGTGTGCCCAGAAACTCATTAGTCCCAGGCAAACTGGGATGGCTAATCATCCTATCAATAAATTGCCTCTGTTTCACTAAGGAGAGGAAAGAAGAGAGAAATGAAACCATTTGCCTGAATAAAGAGACAATTGCATGATTTTGGGCTCTAGGTAACACAGAATAATCTTCTCCCACACTTAAATCAGCGTAAAAATGTTTCAAAATGCCCATTACAAACCAATTAATGCCTATGCATTCAGGTGAATTACCAACCAAAGAAATTTTTGTTTGTATTTGAATTTGTCCAACACACACCCAACCCACAATAAGGAGTGGCAATACGTTCTATTGTTTTCATTCCAGAAACACTTTGAATATATAGCAATTATTGTTCTATAACCCAAAATCCAACTAAACAAATCGATGACTAATCCAGAGAGGTATAATGTATTACTTTGGAATTTAGGATTTATGTTAGCATATTTACCCACAGTGTCATAAAATGGTGGAGTGGATAGATAGAGCCATCTAATATTGTTAATCCAGTCAAATGCACACCTTTATAGACTCATGTCTTCACCATTATTTTTACACACCTACCCTGCTGCTGATGTGTAAATCGGGAACTAAACATAAAAATTCATTATTAAGGAATGTAGTAGCAGTATGTGGAGGGAAGAGGTCATAAAGTCGAGCAGGGAGTAAGGACTCAAATTCTGGCAGCAAAAGGTGGGGAACAGAAGGAGACCCAAGGACGTTTCTTTAGTGCAGGGGTTCTCAAACTTGGCTCACATCAGCATCACCTGGAGGGGGTGAGAAAATTCTAATGCCCAGGCCACATTCTAGAATAATTAAATCAAGACTTTTGGCCGGGCGTGGTGGCTCACGCCTGTAATCCCAACACTTTGGAAGGCTGAAGTGGGTGGATCACTTGAGATCAGGAGCACAAGACCAGCCTGCCCAATATGATGAAATCTCATCTCCACCAAAAATACAAATTAGCCAGTGTGATGGCGGGCATCTGTAATCCCAGCTACTCAGGAGGCTGAGGCATAAAATGCACTTGAACCTAGGAGGCAGAGGTTGCAGTAAGCCGAGATTGCAAGATCATGCCACTGCACTCCAGCTTGGGCAGCAGAGCCAGACTCTGTATTAAAAGACAAAACAAAAACAAAAACAAAAAAAAGGACTTGTGGAGGTTGGGACCCAGCGATCAATTTGTTTTAAAGAGTCCCAAATAATTATAATGTGCAGCCAAGTTTGAGAACCTACTTTAGTACCTTCAGGTGAGTGCTTTTTTAATCTGTTTGTATGTTCCCCATATTACTAATTTTTTCAATACCCCCAACAGGAATTAATGACAACTGGAAAAAAAAAAAAGGACATAATTCCCAAGCACTTGTGATTAGAGTTTCATTTTACAGAATTGCAGAGAACTACTTCCAGGACATACAGCTGAATTAAAACTTAGAATTGAGACAAATACTTCACTTAGAAAAGTATTTTAGTGGCCAGGCACAGTGGCACGCACCTGTGGTGCCAGCACTTTGGGAGGCTGAGGCAGGAGTTTCACTTGAGGCCAGGAGTTTGAAACTAGCCTAGGCAACAGAATGAGACTTCGTCTATACAAAAAGTTTAAAAATTAGCCAGTGCAGAGGCATGCACCTGTGGTCCCAGCTACTCGGGATCCAAGACAGGAGGATGCCTTGAGCCCAGGAGTTACAGGCTGCAGTGAGATTTGATCACAACACCGTACTTCAGCTGAGCAGCAGAGCAAGATCTGTCTGGAAAAAAGAAAAGAAAAGAAAAGAAAAGAAAAGAAAATCAGAAAAGTATTTTACAAAATTCTGCAAGCATACTTCCACTTAAGTCTAGCAAAATTCTTCCAGGTACTTAATCAAATATTTTTCCAAAGTGTTAGGCTCCTGTAGTAAGTTTCTGTTATGGAAATGTGCTGTGTTATTTTAGCCGCCTCATTTCTTTTACCTCTTAGATTTTTGTCAAAGCAAAGTAAAATAGTAATGTATGCAAATAAGAGACCCATCAAGAAAACATCTCTAAGCCAAGTGACTAAAAAATTAACTTAAGGGACAAAGAAGCAATTTTTTTCCTTAAAGAAATATCAGATTATTTTAGTATTTCCCAAATGAACATTTTATATTTCTCTAAATAGTTAACTAAGGCATCACATTTAACTTCAAATCAAAAATATCAGCGTTAAAAATAAACATATAAATCAATTGATCTAAGCTTCTTATTTGAGAGATAAAGAAGCAAAAGATTAGAAAAGTTGTCCAAGCCCTCCTGGGACTCAGGTCTCA